TGAGCGTATTTATGAGGAAAATTTATTCAAAATTTCCAATGAACTCGAGGTCCTATTACCAAAGATTAAATACATAAAATTCTTCCGTGTTTTATCTTAGGTAAGTTAATCATTCAATCAGCGTCTACAGAAAAATTCACCAGACCATTATACAAAAAATACCACTAGACTGCGATTCCCGTGCTACATTAGAATATGAGCTAATACAAAGCGGCAGACAGACCATCGGCAGGATCATTACACGTCAGACATTGTCGTTGAGGAAAAATAGGAATAGATATTCGATGTGTCTATTGAAGCGTATTACAAAGTGAACAGAAGGCCATCGAAAAATTAACGAATTATCGATATCTACTGAACTGGAAACGAACCTCTGAAAGCGGATAGTCACAGTTGTGTCAAAAGTACTATGGGTTCTAAGAGCCATACCCAGAGACCTGACGAAAACGGATGGGCGCGGTTGTCCCAATGGCACTAGGGCCTGTCAGTGTAATATCTCGAGACCTGACAAAACACCAGGTACCCTACGCCTTAAAGCAAGAGGTCCAAATGAGTACCAACTGCAAAACCGCATCTTCATGCTCCACTCACTTCATGTGATTTGAAGAATTCACTTATTAAATGGGAGTTTGGTAGTTTTCGTTACCAATACAAATTACCTGAAGTCTCAGACTCAATAAAATGTAATAGCAAACGTAACATGCAATTATAAGCTGAGGTCCCTTTGGGATTCGCCAGGCCCGTGCGTACAACTCAAATTCAAAGAAGTTTGAACCAGTATGAGATCCGATGATTAATATTATATATAATTTTAACAATTAAATAATATAATATTGAACTCCTATAGTTTGGGGTCAATTACATAGTTTACTACCGTAAAATATATCATAAAATTCATGTCCCATTGACAATATTTTTCACAAAGGAGATTAACTTTAGATTTTCATGTTGATTAACAAATTTGTATTCACAATTGTTGTACTAAAATTTGCGAAAATTAATAGAAAGGTTTAGTTTCTCATGAACGAAATGTATACGAGTTTACGCAATAATAAGCGATGCAAAAACAAGCCAACCTTTTTTCATCCTACCTGACAATAATCTTTGCTACATTTTAAGAATCTTGAAAAATATACCAGAACTGTGGTAATAATCATGCATTATCCTTTGTCAGCACTAAAATGCACCTTTCACGAAAGAAAATTAAATCCACAAAGCTCTAAAGGGTTTCACGATGAAAGCTTCTCAAAAAGAAAGAGCTGCGTAGGGAAATTACGGGTTGTGGTTTGTTGTGGGTGTTCTCGTAATGAACGCACGGAGCATACAATTGATAAAAGAAACCTTCTAATAAGTCTCTTTACTCAAGACGGGTCGTCGTAAAGTCTTAAGGGTCTCTATAAAGAGGATTACTCATTTAGATAAGACTCGGAAACTCCTTAACCCCTGACAAACGAAACAAGAAGAACAAGAAAACACCGCTAAGAAACATAATTAATTTTCAGTAGAACCACTCTTTTATCTTGAAATGAAGTTATCAAAGATTGTGATAACTTGCTGTCGTCACGGTTTCAAAGGTTTTATGTCACTGAAACGGCGTAATTAGTTTGAAAGGTGGTTTTCAAATCCACCCTGATGAGCAAGGAAAAGACGAGCTTACAATTTGGGGATTGTATAGGTTTCTCTATTTAATAGGAAGCTTCATCTGTTGGATTTGCAAGAACTTCTGGTATTTATGACACGCCTTCAATTTCTCTAATCTGAACTCTTAACTGCAAAAGAAGCATTATGCTTTTGTTATCTATTGATTTGTGTGGAAATTCATAACAACGTTAAATGAAATTAAAATCAGGAGACAATGTCAGTGGATAAGAAGAAAATTCTCTTAAATACAGAAAACCTATACATTTGAAAAGTTTACAGTTGTAGAATTAACCGAGATTGCTAACGCATGAATACTCCAAGCCACACGATATTCATGAGTTGTGGCTGTTTGAATCTTCTGTGCTTAATTGGTGTATGTCTAAAATAAAGTCGGAGGGAGAGATCTGTATCAAGCAAATAGTGTTGGTCTTCAACGAAGCTGATATGGATAAGGTCGCATGGTTTTACTACTTTTTACAAAAAACGCTTTTATACCAATAGATTGGCGTTTGAAGATCTACGGATAGTAGCGTTTAACAGCAATTCGGCGGTAGAAGTAGCAAACAGATGCTACCAAGAAGCATCAACAATGAACCTGCGTATACAATCACTACAACAAACTTCTAATGGAATACAATACCATTAGTATACCACATAAACATGCTATGCAGGACACACGAATTAAACAAGTAACATTGTGAACAAGAACATTCATTTAGATATTCTCGCAGATATTGGGTTTTCGTATTACGTTAACGTAAACGTAAAAGCTTGTATGTTATAAACTTTAATGTTTATTTCTAGTCATCTTATTTATGCTTACATTTCTGTTCACAATTGTAAATGGGTTTATTAAGTGACATGGCATTAAGCTATTGCTTTCACAGCACGTTCATGTGCATATATGTGAACGAGAATTAGTCAACTTTCATGTCTACAGCAAACGTTTAAGTTCGTGCTTTCGTTTATGTCAACCATTAATGGTTTTCCTAATTCACCTCTGGGAATAATTTTGTGAGAGTTTAGAATCAAGCTTATAATTGCATGTTACGGTTGCTATTACATTTTATTGAGTCTGAGACTTCAGGTAATTTGTATCAGTAACGAAAACCACCAAACTCCCATTTAATAAGTGAATTCTTCAAATCATAAGAGTAAAAATTGAATATGAAAATATTCGCACAAAATAAGCAAGTTGACAAACTTGGAGACATTCTCATTTTTCTAAACACACATGAGTATATGCCCATAATTACATTAATAACGTCGAAGATACACTCTTCTTGCGAGAATTTTCTCTGCTGATTGTGAGGCCTTGTGGTGTGTCTTTAGAATCACTGGTAAGGAAACCTGTAGGTCGGCGTTGGATCTAATGTTCCCTCGGGGTAGAGTCCCTAGTTACAGAGAGTAACACAATCGCCCCAATTTAATATCAAATAAAACTTGTTTTACGTGGCGAGGCTCAGGCCTGCAATCATTCCTGACCTGTTCGCTACACTTCTTTCACTGTCTAGCAGAGAAATATGGTATCACTCGGTCAACGAAACAGGCTATTTGAATTTAGCTGACAGGTTTCTTTTAGGCTTGAGGATATTTTAAATGTAGTAAATCTACAAGGGACAGCCGACTTCACTTCTCCTCCAAAGGATATTTTCCTGCCCATAAAAATCCAGGGCTTCCGTTGGTTTTACCCCGCGATCTTGTGTATAACAGTCCGATGCGCTAAATGCTAAAACTACCGAAGCCACTAAATATCCTGTCACATCATACCTTCGCCAGGAAGCATTCAGATGTCGAAAGGAAATGATAAAAATTGAAGTCAATATGGAGATGTACGATTATATAAAAGTTGATTTTGGATAGATTAATGGTTCCCAACACACAATATCGCACAGATCGAACTCTCCTGAAAACGAAATAAAATGGCGGAATCGGCGACGCAAAGGAACGCGCTGCATTCTGTAGAGAGAAATTACTATAAGAACTTTGACACTTTGACAGCTACATCTTGGCCATTAATGATAATATAACTGCAAGTTAGACCTTGCATTCATTTCGTTTATAGTTAGCTCATTTGTAAATGGTTCCTTCATTATCTCTTGCAATGTCATCACACTGCATGAGTTCATTTGTTTGCCGACCTGGCTAAGTGATTCCTACTTAGAGTAATTTCTCTATATCCAAGCACTGCTCTACAGGGTGAGAATCGCCTGCATTTGACGTTGTATTTCATCCACTATACTCGCGGGACTAATGATCATTTCGGCGGAGGTGCCCGGAAACGCGAAATATTGGGTCGCTCTGTATGAGTGCCCACTCACCCTCATAGTACTGCGCGCCCTCCTCCTGGAAGTGGTGGTGCCTCATCGAGAGGTCGTCGCCCCCCGGCCGGTGCAGCTGCGGGATGAGGTTCAGCCACAGCGACATCTTGTGGCCGCGGTAGTGGTTCTTCATTTCCGCCTTCGCGCCTGGGAACAAGTACACACTTCATCATTTCCAGAAAAAGTTTGAGGGAATGTTTCGTCGTCGTATGGATGAATGAGAAATGAAGTGGCAAAGTGGGTTTTGAAGAAATTTGACGAACACCAAATGTGCGAAACGTAAGTAATGGTTGCCATACAAATAATGTAAGTACAATTAATTCGTCCCTGGCATTCAAAAATATTAATAAACAGTGTATTTTAAGTCTGTTAGAGTACTTTCAAATTATTAGTTTGAACGATGAAGATTTATTAACAGACCCAAAAGTAGCATATTTTACATTACTTTCATTACGATCTTGCATTACAACCAACTTCCAATGTCTTGTATTTTGTTTCACCTTCAGTGTAAATAAAACTACATACAACTAAAACATTCAATATGAACTGGGTCATTACACGTGAATGATTCAGTAAAGTGACTGAGGTAACTCATATGGTTGTTGGCAATGTGTGAAAAGACAAAATATTGACATTGCAAATAATTATTTAATAAATAGGATTTATGACAAGATGCTAGTAATATAACGTAACGTCACATTGAGTTCATTATTGGTTTAGACGACAAATATCTACAATAAATAAGTTTTCGAACGGAATTCACGTAGGAAAACTGATTTAATGAAGTGTTCCAACTTTAATCCACTAATATTTTATTTTATAAATTAGAGTTAATTAATTTCTGTCCTATACCTTTCTTTGAGAAGGCAATCTTAAATGAATAAACAAGTGAATAAATAAATAAGTAAATAAATAAACAAGTGAATAAAAAAATAAATGAGTAAATACATGAATAACTGTAGATCGCTCACCGAGCTCCATGTAGAGCTGGTTGATGGAGTCGTAGGTGTCCCAGAAGGGCGCGGGCAGTGGCTGCACGGGCTCGGCCGCGCCCGCGCTTGCCTCGGCCTCCGCCTCCGCCGCCGCCGCTGCCGCCGCCCGGTGCGGCCCCGAGGGCGTGCTGTTGGGGTCCCTGCAAGCCACACACGCACTTTGCAACTGCTGCCCGCGATCATTCCTCTCCCCTGCTGTGGTGATGTATTCTCATCTAGGAGGAAAGGACCCTTATCGTAGCACACGTGAAGGAATAGACTCCCTTTTGTCGACTCGACATGGAGAACGACAACATGGATCCGCGAGCTGACTGGCGCCATACAAAACTGTATAAAATACCAACTTCTCGAGCCAACGCTTCGATGTGCGTGTCCAAGTTCATGACGAGGCTCCAATCTATGCGATAATAGACAAAAATAATTTTAATTAATTAAAAAATGTTCCATTCCCATTTAAACTATGAAACAGAGTGCACTCGTTATTGCCACTCGCTCTTGAATCCCGTTTCCGATCTCTTGTCATTTCGTGAACGTGGGTACAATGTACCCGATTTAGAGACTTCCTTTTGACGTACAACTGTGGAGTTTTAGAGAACGCACGCATGCGCAGTGCCGCTTCTGTGGTTCCAGAACGAACCCGTACTTCAAGTTCCAGAATCGTTCGTAAAACGAAGCGTGTAAATCGGGTGTAAGGGATAAGACATAAGAAAACTTACAAATGTGAGGCATGAAAGAGCACACATGTTACGAACACTATTATTAATGTTGAGTTTTTTCGCAAATACAAGCAATTTATCTAAAAACTCGCTTATTGAATTACGTATGATTAACTAAAGAAAATTGACAACTGCAGTTACCAAAATATTATTTTGACTTAAGACCAATCACACTTTATATATCAGTATACATTATCTCTGGTATTGTCGTAGTCAGTAACAAACTCACACGCAGTTTGATAATTTTTTTTTAATTTTTAGGACTTTTTTTAACTTTTAAGTTATATAGACACAAGCAGTTTGCCTCCCAGAAAGTGAGGTTGTTAGTGATTCCGGGAGCGTCAACGTCTGAGGTATTTAGTTCCATACGTGTATAATTTCTCCCTCGGGACGTGGCTTTGATTTTCCCGCCGCTGGATGGTGAGATCTGGCTAGGACCTACCGTCGGCTAACCGGATTTCTTCCAACGATGTATCTCCCACCAACGGGACACCGCCCTAGCCGGGACAAGTTCTAAGCTCCTGACCAGTCTCCAGCCATGTGTAGAAGTGTAGTGAATGCTAGTGTAAGTGCATGTAAGGGGTGAGGATGGGAGAAGGAAGAGAACGGAAAGATCGCACGCGGTCCGTGGCCTGTTTGTTAGGATACTGCTCTGACATTCACCTGGTGTTGATCGGTGAAACCACGGAAAAATACCAATCTAAGCAGCAGGCCTCTAGAATTTTTCTCCAGACCGTGACTGAATTCTATCTAGCTGAAAAGCTAGTGTCAAGAATCCTGCTACTGTCGGAACTTGAACATAGAACCTCCTGTCAGACGCACTGCGGTGACATCTGTTGATGCAGTGATCCACCTCTCCCAGTAGAAAATAGGAGAGAAACAAAAAAGAAGTAAATTCTTCTCTTTCTTTTCCCCTGTGCGTGTGTGTGTATGCGTGGTCCTCTCTCTCTCTCCCTCTCTCTTCCTCTCTCTCTCTCCCTCTCTCTCTCACCACCTTTTCTCTCCCGGTTCTCTTTCTATCCCTTCGTCTTCATTTGCCCGTCTCTCTTATCTCTTCCCCCGCCCGCCTTGCGCGCAGCAATCCGCGCTGCTTGGCGCCTCATTTCGCCTCGCCCCTCCCCCCCCCCCTTGCGGCACCGGCCCTGCGCGCGGGTTGCTCCATAATGGATCCGGAGCACAATAATATTTTGAAAGTAATATCGGCGGCGCCCGCCCGTCCCTGAGGAGTCAGGGCGCGATAGGTGGCGCGGCGCGGCGGAAGGAGCGGCAAACAGCGGCACGCTCTCGCAGTGGGCCTGTACACGCCGCGAGAAGAAGAGACCCATTGATTAAGAGTTTCCGAGAGCGCTAACTGCTTTGGCCATTAGTTCCATAGTGCACTGGGATACATGGCTCAGGGCATCACCTGATGCCACTTCAGTGCCTCTGATCAAGAGGGCCTGGGTTCGAGTACCAACGGTGAGATGATTTTCGACACTAGCTTTTAATTTAGATCGAATTCAGCTGCTGTCTTGTGGAGAATTCTAGCCAACGGCTGCTCTGATCAGAAATTTATCGTATTTTCTCCGATCAACATCAGACGAATGCCGGAGCAGTATCCTAACAAACGGGCCACGGACCGCGCGCGATGTTTCCCTCATCACTCTTATCCTACCTTCACCCTTACTTAGACTCACACACACACACACAGACACTAATATGCACTACTACCACATATGCCGAGAGACCGGTCGGGATCTTAGAGCTTGTTCCGGCTGTGGCAGTGCCCCTCTCTGGGAGATACCTGAATGAGGAAAACACCGCTATCCGACGGTAGGATGGCGCCGGATCTCTCCTTCCATCGGGGAAGATAATCGCCACTTCCTAACGAAAAAAACTTACGGGACCGCAGCAATTTACGTGCCCGGAGTCACTAACAGCCAATCAATCCATAGAGTAATGCATGTTATATCATGCATCGCATGTTATATGCGGTAAGTGGCGGTGTTCCTCTCCCACCAAAAGTGAGATTACTCACCGTCCGACGCCGTCTTGCAGGGTTGTTCCTACCCCATCCGCGACAAGCTTTTAGAGCAAGGCTGCTACAAAGCAAGGCTTAATTCGAGCCAGACTGCCAGGGGTGGCCAGAGTGCCATTCACTTATTACTAGACTAGAGCCGATCGTGCTCGAGTGCCTCACCTTCTGTATCTTTCCGTCAGGATAATTCCATGAGCAGCGGGCCATCTCGGTGGCCCACAGATAAGCAGTGAGTACGGCCACGCCATGTGGGATTGCGATAGGGCTCGAGCAGATGTGTAGTATCTCTGACCAGAGAAGGTCATATGGTTTGAATATGGACGGGGGCAAAATTTTAGATGCTAGCTATATAGCCTGATCGAATTTTGCTGCTGTCTGGAGAAGACTAGCGGCCGGCTGTTCTGATCGGTAGTTTTTCGTGTTTCTCCAATCAATGCCAGGGTAATGTCAGAGCAAAACCATAAGAAACGGGCCACGGATCGCGCGCGATCTTTCTTTTCTCTTCCTTGTCCTACCCTCACCCCTTACTTATTCACACATGTAATACACTACCACACACGCGGTAGATCAGTTGGGAGTTTAGAGCTTGTCCCGTCTAGGGCGTTGCCCCACTGGTGGGGGACATCTGATTGGGACAAAATCCAAAGAGCTGACTGTACGTCGGTGCCGGATCTCGCCATACAGCAGGGGAAGATTCACGCCACTTTCGTAAAATAACATACTTCACCTACGGGACTAATAGCATAGGCAGACGCACTTGGAAACACCATTCAATCCATCAGTGGTGCATGCATATAAACGAATTGGAGCGTTTTGGCTGCGCCACGTGGAAGGTATGTTTAAAGTGGGAAAGAGGGTTTGGCCCTAACACATTCAGGTCGCCGTCCGGAACAAGTTTCGCACCGTGTTTCTGATTTGTTTACCCGTTTTCTCGCAGGTCGCGCTGTCGTTTAATTTAGTTTGCCTATAATCCGCTTGGTAAAACACTGCGTTCAAGATTGAATTTTAGGAGACACAAACTGAAGAGAACCACGGGATGTCTGGTGCATTGGTGCTAGCGTGTTGCTAGTATCGGCGTCTGCCAAATTGTTTCAGAGCCTTCTAGATGAACTGCAATTTATTAAGGACAAGATGATATTATTATTTTAATTATACAGGAAATTAGAAGGTATTTTTGGGCTTTCTCTTGGTTTGTAACTTTGCATTAAAAGCAAAATCACAGTTTTTTAAATTATCCTGTATTTAAAAAAAACACCTACGTGAAAGTTCTGTATATGATTTTAAATCTGAAGTTTTGTTCTTAAAAAATATCCCAAAATATTATTCCCCATCCCATTGGGTAATTTTGAACTCCATTTTATTAAAATAGCTTCAAATTAAACAGTTTCGTAAAGTATCAAAACTTATCAGTTACTGTCTTCCTTCACTATTGCATAATTTTATTGCAAGTTGACAAATTAGTCACTGTAATAGCGTGAGTGTAGTCCTTGAAAGACCCTTTACAATAGTCGAGAAGGACCAGGAAGAAAATCAGTAGTTTGTTCTAGACAGCTGGGCCGAGGTGTATGTATTAACTACTAGTTTTAATACTCAGAGCTATAATACCTAACCACTAGCTATAATACCAGAGAGAATAGTACATGAAATAATACATAAAAAAAAGAGTGTGGTGTGAGTCAACCCAATATATGTGCCATTTCCTGCGATAACATTAATAAAATTTGTCTTCAATTTCTTATATATATTTGAGTAACATTGATATTTACAGAATTGTGTAAAATTTATAACGAAAATGTGATATATTTGGAATCGTCAGGTCTCGTACAGGTAAGACAGCATGATAATGGATACCTCAGTAAGTCGTGCGATTTGTGGGAAAGGGTTCTCGGGAAATGATTCAATGAATAGCAAGCGGAGTGCTGCGGGAAGCGTTACGACATACGTGATGTGCAGACATCTTGAAGAGATCTCTGCATCGTGCACTGGAGCAGTGTTTCAGAAATGGTGTTGGAAATTGAATTGAAAATTAATCTTTGACGATTTTAAAGTTTGTGGACTTCTTGACGTGAGTTTTATGAGAATGGTCGTTGAACATTATTTAAATTTTTGTTTTATACATTCCTTTGACAACATTTCATCAATTTATCAATGTTGTGATGTCATTACTCTGAACACTGATCATAGAAGCACCCCAAAGAGCAGTGGATAATACATTATTTTTCAATTTCTGTGTTTTTGTGTTTTGAAAATTAATCCTGAATTTTCAAAACGGAATATCGTAAATGCCATTACAATATAAATACAAAACACTGTTGAAAGTTATCTCCTTGTCAGAAACGTCTATAATATTTTAAGAAACTAGATTTAAGAGGTATCAATAGTAGAAAACAAGATGTGAGTTTTCTAGTTTCCAACTGCATTTCAAATTCGATTATAAACAAATTTTATCGTCAGTTTTCATTAAACTTACGTGATCTACCTAGGAATTATTTCAGACAACTTGTGACTAAAAATATTCTATCGGTTATTTGATCTATCGGTAAAAAACGTATGTCTATCGATTACTCCTTAAGTACTGGAGCTTCCTAACGTTTATCTGCGTTTTGGTTCGCCATCATTATCTTCATGTTTAGACTTATAATTTACAAAGAGACAATACTGAACGTCAAGACTACTGCTAGTTGTGCTCGTTGCACATCTGCGAATCCGTAATCATATCATGGGTAAATGGATTTTAAATATCTTTGTTTCCAATAGAAGCGTTGAGATTGTGAGCGACCAAAGCCACAAGAACGAAATTTCACAGGAGAGCAAAAACAAGTTGACAGAAGAGGTTACAGCATCGTTAATACGAGAAAACCTCTGAGCCAC